GCCACTGTTTCTTAAGATCTGGAACACTGAGGAATTCCCACTGACCTATGGAATGCCACTATAGTCACCGTTTTCAAAAAGGAAGATCAGTCTGACTGTGGAAACTATCAAGGTATTGCCCTCCTCTCCACTGCTGGGAAGATCCTAACTCAAATTCTGTTGAACTGACTGCTCCCTCTTGCCAAGAAAATCCTTCCTGAGTCTTAATGTGGCTTCAGACTATCGAAAAGCACCATGGACATGATTTTTGCAGCCCAGCATATCCAGGAAAAATGCCAGGTACAACACCAAACTCTTCTGTGATATATAAATTTTCATTTCTACCTAGGAGAATTTTTACAATCTTGACTCTCTCCTATGCCTGATGAAGTGGGTGCCCAAAAGCTTGCAGATAAATATAATACATTCTTGTTTTTATAAATTAACAATCAAATCAATCAATTATTGTTTGCAAATAATTATTTGGTCTAATAAAATATACCACCTCTTCCACGAGTTTTGATTCCTGAAGTACACTAGAAACTGTATATGGCCTTTATCAATTTGACCAAAGCCGTCAACTCTTTTAACTGTGAGGCTCTATGGAAAATCTTATCGAAGTCTGGCTGCCTAGGGAAATTTATCACCATCCTAAGACTCCTTCATAATCAGATGACTGCCTCTATCCTATGTAATGGCTCTGCTACGGAGCCCTTTGCCATTCGAACTGGCATCGAGCATGGCTGCACGATCACATCAATTCTGTTTTCCATCTTTCTTGCAGTCATCAAGATGTTCATCTGTGACTCTCTGCCACACGGCATCAGCATTGAGTACAGGATGGATGGGAATCTTTTCAATCTCTCCTGCCTCCATGCCAAAATCAAAGTTAAATCGGGCTCAATTATGGAACTTCAGTATACCAATTATTGTGCTGTCATTGTATATACTAAGGAAGACCTAAAAATGGCCCTTAACTGCTTCTCTCAAGCATACCAGTGCCTAGGACTGACCCTTAACATCGGAAAAACAAAGGTATTTCACCAGCGTCCTCTGAGCTGATTAACTCCCCCGGCAAAGATCCTCATTGATGGACAGGAGCTGGAGAATGTTGAATACTTTGCACACCTCAGCAGCCATCTCTCAAAGGCCAGCATCAATGAGGAGATCCAACATAGGATCCAATGTGCCATCTCTGCCTTCAGAAGATTTTATCAGTGTGTTCAACAATCACAACATCAGGACTTGAACAAAGCTCTTATTATACAAGGCTGTGGTAATCCCAACCCTGACCTATGCCTGTGAAGCTTGGGCGACCTACAGGGACCACCGAAGAGCCTGGAATGCCTTCACCAGCGCTACCTCTGGAAGATCCTTGGCATCAAGTGGGAGGATCATCATACAGATGCCAGTGTCCTTACTGATGCTAACACCACCAGCACAGAAGCATTGATTATTCAACATCGGCTGTGGTGGACAGAGTACTATGTGCACATGCCTGGTGTACATTAACCAAAACAACTGCTATACTCCCAACTCAGCCAAGGTCAAAGGACACACGAGGGCCAGAGAAAACACTTCAAGGACACCCTCAAAGCGAACATTAAGAAGTATGGCATTGACATCACAAATTGGGAAAATTTACACCTTACTGTAAGGGAAACTGTCTTGCCCTGGACGCAGAAAAGACAGAAACGAAAGGAAAGGAAACAAGACTGAGAAATCCACGGTACGACCCTCCCTTTAACCACCACCTATGGCGTCACCAAGAGAGTCTGCCTCTCTAGGGCTGGTCTCCTTAACTATCAGCGGATTCATCTACAACCCTTTACTTGATCCATAGGAGTGATCATCCTTGACTGCTGCCAAGAACAAAAAAATCCCCTGTGCGTTGGTTGAGGGAGGCTGGGCCAGGGCACCTGTCTGTACTCTGGTTGCTGCCTCAGCAAAAAAAGGGTTTGCTAAGACACAGGCTCAGCCACGCATCTCCCACTGCCCCGTTCATCAGCCAGGCACAGGCCCTGGGGCTCACTCACACAGGCACAGAGGTGGCACTGTCACCCCCAGCCCCATGGTCAGGGCAGCAGGCACAGGGCATACACAGACCTTCGCACTCAGACCCCCTCTCACCCAAGCTCCCCATTTTCCCCTCCAGGCGTGAGGGAGCATCTCCTACCAGGGGTCAGGACGTGAGAGCAGGAGGAGAGTGGGGACACCTGCCCATGCCTGCAAGGCCTGTACTGCAGCACGTACCATGCCCAGGTGGCCCAGCAGCCAGTTGCGGCGCTGGGGCTCGGGGAAGCAGCGCAAACGCTGGCAGTTCACATAGTATCGGTGGAAGAAGCCCAGGAGCTGCAGGAGCAGGTGGAGGAGCAGTGCCAGCGCAGCCAGGAGCAGGGCAGAGATGGCATAAGTGCAGAGCAGGGTCTGCTCTAGGCTGAGCAGCTCCAGCACCTGGTCTGCGAGTGGCAGCATCCTGTGGGCAGAGACAGGGCACCATTACCAGGAGACACAGGGCACCGTGAGGGGGCCAAGCCAGGCTGGGCGCTCAGCTCCAGAGAGGGGCTAGGCAAAGCCCCTGTGAGCAGGGGAACCAAGGGGGGAAGCCCCCAGTGCTGCAAAGCCGGAGAGCTGTGGGGAGGTCCAAGCTCTGGCTGCGGGGGCGGGGGCGGGGGTGGAGAGGAGAG